GGCAGCGCAGCTGGACCCTGAGCCCGAAGGACGGCAGCGCCTTGTGACGAGCTGCCCGTCCCGCGTGCGCCGCGGGGGGGGCCCTCCCGAGGGGGCAGCGCACGGTCGCCCGCCGACGGGGGGCGGGCGTCAGAAGGTTGGCGCGGACCTCTCGAACATGGATCTGGTTGACACGAAGGGGGTCCAGCGAAAAGGGGGTGGTGCAACAGATCTGGTGCAATGGGTTTGTGGGGTTGCAATCGATTTATTGGGGCGTGCAATACATTCCTGGGCGCAAATGTACTGCTGAACTTTCGCGTGCAATTCACTAGTTGCAATACAATGCAATACAATTCTCCGGCGCAATATATTCGCAATCCAATTGCCCCAGATCTATTGCACCAGCTCCTTTCAGCTGGGTCCCCTTTTGGGTCAACCAAATTGGAGCGAGAGGGAATCGCAGCGAATGTAGTCAGAGTGCTGGGGTAGCCCGGTCATTCATTGTCCCTGGCTGCATGGCTGAAGTGGGACACCGAGGCTCGGATTCTGCTTGTTGTTGCGTTGAATTCTCATCTCTGCAGGATAATAATTGTTGATCCCACCCCTCCGGCAACAGATGTGTTTTTCAATTGAAGTGACTCTCCTGGGGCTCGCACCTATTTTTTCTATCTTGGACAGTCTTCTTCCTCAAACTGCGCCCTTGGCCCTTACCTACAACAACAAAGGCTCGCGCCTAATACTTCCTCGCGATGTATTGAAGATTCGTGCTGTCGGGCGGGACCTCCTCACAATTTATGTACGAACTGCGCTCTCGCGTGGGACGTCCTCGCAATTTATTCAGACGATGCGCCCTCGGCGCTCAGGAATCACGCTCTCGCTTTGGGCTTTTTCTTACGATTTACTTGGGAATCGTGCTATCGCTCGAGACTTCCTCGCGATCCGTGCAGAACCCATGCTTCAGCAACCCGCCTGCTCGACCTGGTCGCCTGGACCCGCCTGCCCGCTACGGGTCTGCCCACCCGATCTGTCCCGTTTGGTTTAACCACTTGCTTTCTGCTTCTTGCCCTCCTGCTAATTTCTCCCGTGATCCATTCTTCTCTTTTCTCTTCCCACCCGTCCTCTCCCTTGTTCTAGGGGCTGCACCACATGCATGTGGCAGGTAAGGAAGATATACCCCCAAGGGGGTACGATCGAAGACGGCGAGGACGGGTACCGAGGTTTTGGATGTACGTTTTGATTGGCACGTGAGCAGATAGGAGCGAACAGTCTTAAGATGAGTGGTGCTGTTGTTGTTGTCGTTGTCGTCGTCCGCGCCCGAGACCCGCCAACGACCTACCCGCGACCCACCCCGCGACCCACCCGCGACCCACGCCGCGCCCGCCCCATCAATCTTATCCGCAACTGCGGGGCGCTAAATTTTTCATTCCTGGAACGCAGTGTGAATGCCGGCGCTGCTAAAGAGTCACATCCGTGGCGGGGGATGGGGACATGTGGCGAGGATCCCCTGCCGCGCGGATTGCTGCACAGGTGCACCACGTTTACGCGATGACTGAGACACGATGTGTTTCGGCCTGCTTTGAGAGCCTTGGTTCAGTGACGGTGTGAATGGTGAAGAGGACGGAGGCGTGTTTCTTCTGTTGCTGCTTCTTCGCAGCATCACCGTCCGTAGACGTCTGTCTTAATTTTTTCCCCACCTGGTAAGTGGGGATCCTTAGATTTTAGGAACAGACCTCCCGCTCACATTCGGGGAAACGTAAGACCCGAGTAACCCGGACCCCGGGTCTGCCGTCGTTTTTCGACGAGCGCGTCCTGGATTTTGACGGTCCAGTCTGCCTGGGATGTTTGCAGCGGGAGTTCGCGTCAAATTTCAGATTGGGCCTCGTCATTTTTGTTAATGTCCCCCGTACCTGAGTCTTACGTCTCCCCGACCCATGCATACCGCGGCCGCCAGATCCCCAGGCCGCCGAGAATCCCCCTAGACCCCCGCCTCGCGTCAGCCTGCCCGCTCTGCATAATTCCCGCGGCCGCCAGGTCCCCAGGTCCACCAAGAATCCCCCGAGAGCCCAGTGTCGCCCCTTCGACATACATGCCAGAACCTAACTGAACTGAGCATAATATTACCAGCCTCGAACGTATCCCTATCCCTAAGATTGACACGCCAATAGGCGACGACAATCTTAGGGATTCGCCCTCAAAAAAATAAGGGAATCCTCAAGATTGGCATCGTGATGAGGAGGTGCCCAGCATAGGGATAGGGATATGTTCCAGGCTGGTAATAAGTCCACCCGTCATAATATTTCACAGCATCTCACAACATAGTGCGAGATAACATACTTGAATCTACCAGTACATACGAGAACATAGCCTGGCGTACCATAGCACAGTGTCGCTTCTACATCGTTGCATGTCATAGTGATGCGTACCGTGACAGAGCGTGGCATACTGATAGTACCATGTCATGACATGCCGTACCATGACAGACCATAGCATGTCATACCACAGCATAACAACGCATGCAATGCCAGAGCGGATCATACGCAACATATCACAATGCCACGCGCCATACGATAATACAGGGCACCATGCCAGACCAGACCACACCATATCATACCATATCATACCATGCCATAGTATAACATTGCATGTCACAGCTTCACGCAGTCGAGCATTCTACACCATGACAACGCATACATTGTCAGAGCTCGGCGTAACACATCATACATTTAGAACATACCAAGTAATACTACCACGCTATCGGAACATACATACCAGAGCACACCACCACACACAATGACACAGCAGAGCATAACATATCAAACCATATTGCAGCAGCGTATAACATAGTCATTACATTATGTAACAAAGCATGACCTAGCGTTGCACCACACAATCTATCATTCAATGCATGGCACAACATACCGTGGTATAACTCGGCGTAACAGAGTGCGCAATAGCATACCATGTTTTGAACTAGCACATCATACCATTAAATGCCTTGTCATAACGTGGCATCGATCATGCTGTATCATACCACCACATACCATTACACAGCCGGTACTATAGCGTTACATCATGTCATCTCAGACCAGAACATACCATATATATATATATATATATATATATATTCTTGTGTTCCAGTGCACATTTCACAACGTAAGTGTCATACCGACATGTACTTGTTACACTACTGTAGCTACTACGGCAACGCTTTATACGCCACATCAGGGACAGCATGTCATGCAATAGCTATGGCATACCATACCAACTCATAATACATTATAGCGAACTGGTCACCGCGTATACCGCATGTCTAACCATAGCATAACACGCCATAAGATGATATACCATATGATGCCTTAGCGTGAGGTCACATATCAAACCATACTCAAGCCATCGCATCATATATCAATCCATACTGTGAAGCGGGTGATCATAACCGAGCAGATTGTAACGCCATATTGACATACGTGAAACGATTCATAGCATAGCATACCGCACTGTTCGATCATCAAACGCGAAGTGCCCGCCGAGGTCAAACTAGCCTCAGGAACCAACAAGCGCAGCAACGACCGACTGTACGACGTAGCAAACGTGAGATGCGTCACGACGTCACGCCGCCCTGCCGATAACAGCACAGGACATACTATAGTATCACATCATATACACTTTTTACACGGAACACAGTTGGGCACTGTCGAATACAGAAACGGCAGTATCGAAGCGGAATCATCGCATGCCTCAACATCGCACCGGGAACGCTGCCGACACCGATTTGTGCCCAAGGGTCTTACCTTACCAACAGGGTAAGTTTTGAGGAGGGCGAGAGGCCGTCGCTGCGCACACCAGACCACCCTGCCCTCTCTGTCGCGGGCCAGCCTCAGCGATGACGGCAGCGGCAGATCTAGACTCGGCTTCGCGTAAGAGTGGCCCTTCGCCATAGTGGTACCCCCTAGCGCTGGCCTGAAGCGGCTTACCCGCTTGGATCTGGACCCCCGTGGCCCTCGAAATTCAGTGGTTTGTGTTCCCTCGTAATCCAGCTTTAACAGCGCACTAACGTCGACTAGCGTCTGGCAATCGGTGGGGTAGCGCCGAGTTGGCGTCGATTCGCGTCGGCCAGCGCCGATGAGTGTCGAGCAGCGTCGGCTCGCAGGAGCCATCGAGAGATGGTCCGGGAGGCTCCCACGAGTGGCCGCAGCACGCGACGGGCGCGCACCAAGAGGGCCACCTTTTGCCCCAGGGCCGCTCCTGCGCGTAGCCGACAGACCATGCCGGCCTCGCGTTCGGCCTGGTGGTGGCCGCGGGGCTCTCCACCGCGGTGGGCGCCGCCGCGGTGTACTTCAAGGTGTTACCAGCCTGGAACATATCCCTATCCCTATGTTTGACATCACCTCACCTCGATGCCGATCTTAGGGATTCCCTCCGTTTCTGAGGGCGCATCCCTAAGATTGTCATCGCCTTTTGGCGTGTCAATCTTAGGGATAGGGATACGTTCGAGGCTGGTAAAAGGTGCTCGTGCGCCTCGCCAGCAAGGGCGTGCTGGCCTGCGGCCTGGGCTTCTCCGGCGGCGTCATGCTCTACGTCGCGAGGGGCGGAGGGTGGCGCGCGCGCGCGCGGACTGGCGGAGGGCCGCCCGCGGAGTTCTCTCGGAGGTCGGCGCTGGACCCCCCCCCTTCCTTCACCGCCTACCAAACCACCCCAACCCAACCCGAAGGCTTCAAGTTGCCCTCCATTTCCAGTGGGGGGGGGTCGTGGAACATTGAGAAAACACATGGAACCCGTACCCCCCCCAACCCGAAATTCGGGTCAAATTCGGGTCTTCGGGTTGGGTTGGGGTTGTCTGGTAGGTAGTCATTCCTGGAAACTGTTTTTTGAGGGTCGGGCGATGATCCGGACTCACCAGCCTCGAACGTATCCCTATCCCTAAGATTGGCACGCCAAAAGGCGATGACAATCTTAGGGGTTCGCCGTGAAAAACTAAGGGGAATCCCTAAGATCGGCATCGTGATGAGGAGATGCCCAGCATAGGGATAGGGGTATGTTCCAGGCTGGTAAGAAATAAACTGTTTTTTTTGAGGATCGGGCGATGACCCGGGTTTTATCGGGCCTGCCCCCCCCCCCCCCCACTGGGGGTGGGGCAGCGCGGGCATGTGCAGGGCTGTCCGCAGGGCGGAGGTCAGGTTCTCGGCCGGCCCCCTTCTCCCCCCCCCCCCCTGGGATAACCCAGGTGATCGCCGATTCCATAAAAAAAGGTCTCTTGGCGCGCGGAGCGCGCCAGAGGCGGCGCCGGAGGCGCCACCAGTTAGCAGTTTGAAATTTATCCCTATCCCTATGTTTGATATCACCTTACCTCGATGCCGATCTTGAGGATTCCCTCAGTTTCTGAGGGCCTGTCCCTAAGATTGTCCTCGCCTTTTGCTCGCCCATCTTAGGGATAGGGATACGTTCGAGGCTGGTTAACCAGGGGGCTCCGAGCGCCGATCCGGGAACTCCGCGCGGAGCTCCGTCAGTGTACGTCTGTGCCGCCCTTGGTCCCTCCAGCGTCTCCTTCGTCGAGATCTTCGTGAAGTCCCAGGACGCCTTCAGCGAGGCGATCGAGGACCAGTCCCATGCCTACATCGCCGCGACGGCGTGCCTCTTCGGCGGGATGCTGCTTCTGAGGTTTATGGCCATGCTGGTCCACGCCCTGGACAAGAATCACAAGTGTCACGAGGACCCTGCGGTGGGAATGCAGATCAGGAGCCCTGTCATGGGCCCCGGCACCATCCGAAGGAGAATCAAGCCGCGCAAACATACACTTCTGGAGCTCCGCGCGGATTTTTCAGGTCGGCGCTTGGACCTCCCCTCCCTGGCGCGCGGAGCGCGCCAGGGGTGGCGCCAGAGGCGCCGCCAGGGGAGGAAGAGGAGGAGGCGGAGGAGGAGGAGGAGGAGGAGGAGGGCCCAGCGCGGATCCGAGACATCGACGCGGACCCCCGAAAGTCGGTGCCTGTGCCCGCTTTCCTCCCTCGGGCCATGCCCGAGGCTCCGCCCCCGGCGGACCCGGGCCTCGTCGACGCCTCCGCCGACAGCCCGCCGCCTTATGTGCTAGGGGAGCATCGAGCGAAAGGACACTGCGGTAACATAGCTTTCAGAGGTCCGCGCGGAGTTCTCGGATACGCGATGCAGGATCTCCGCGTGGAGTTCCGACAGTTTATTTTTGTGCCACGTTTGGTGCTCATGGGGGGGGTGCTCTGGCACGATTGCCCACCTCGCAGGAAACGTTCGGTTTTGCTATCGGGCGCCTATCGTACATCGTACGCCTATCGACGATGTATCGTCGAATGAATTTTGATGCTCCCCCTTCTTAGTTGCTGACCCCCCCCTGACCTTCCCCCTCAGCCTCCTGCGGCATCAACCTCAGGAGGGGACATAGGCGCAACACACATGAACGTTGACTTGGGGAATGGATCTCTGGGGGATGGGGAGGCCGAGACGCATCCGAGACATGTGGAGACCTGCTGGGACATGCTGCTGATGTGTGCGACGACTCGTGTGCTTCCCCTGGCCCCTCTGCACCCTCCTCGTGATCATCCTCACCCCAGCCAGCCCCCAGCCCGAAGCCCTTCTCTGGATCGCTCGGCCCGGTGCGCCCCTGTCGGGGGGGTCCCTCCCCCGACGGGGCTCAGCCTCGCCTCGTCGCCGCGCCGTGCCGAGGAGGAGGCCCGCGAATCCGGCGCGCCGTGGCTGTCCGCGACGGGTCCAGAGCTGAAGTCTTCCCACGCGAACATTACGGGCGTTATGTGGCCTCCAACCCACCCACCCACCCACCCAGTAGATCATCGGAGGAGGATAGACCTCCTAGCCTGACACGTCGATTCGGGACTTGGCCGTTTTCGGTTCGCGAGAGGGCGCCGCGGCAGTCATTCTTGCGGGTCCAGGTCCGTCGGTTTCGGTCCCAGGCCGTTTTCATTAAGGGGAGGTTTGCTACAGGGAGCTTTGTCCACCGCCGAGACAAAACATCACGCCCTCCGCTCCGCCCACCCCCGTTGCAGCAGCGCCTGCCGTCAAGCGCGCGGGTGCACTGCTCGTGGTGCTCGAGCACGGTGCCGTGCCGTGTGCCAGCGAACCCGCCCTCCTGGCGCCACAAGACGCGCGTGCTGTGGCTCCCAAAAACAACTCGAGCCCGCGTGCTCCGCGGGCGCCGCGGGCGCGGGGGGGCCTTGCAGAGGGCCCTCCCGGCCGTGCCGCGGGTGGACCGCGCGGGGGGGCCTCTCGGGGTGGCGAGGTCCCCGCGCAGTCCGCCGCCGCACCGAGTTCGGGGCCCCTCGGCTTCCTCAGATCCCGGCGTTGCAACTCTATTCGAACCAGAAGAACGGCAGAACTGTAAACATCAGGGACCAAAAAAGATCTCGGCAAACAACAGCATTAGCATAAGAAACGGACAACCACGTCAAAGCGGCATAAACGTAAAGGTGTATACGTAAACGCAAAGAGAACCTATCTCGTCCGCTCGCCACGGAAAACATGCATAAACATAAAATTGTT